CTCGCACAACACGAGAAAAGGGCCTATCATTGTTGATCGATTCTCGGCTACAAAAAGAGCCTATGATCAAAATGTAAACAAATCGTTTTTTGATACCATTCTATAAATAGCACCGCTTAGTGCCACCAGTCGTATAGGAATGTTCCACATCTATATATATATCTATATATATAAAAATGAATTTCTGTCTGTCTGACCCTTATAGACTCGGAAACTACTGAACCGATTGGCGTGAAAATTTGTATACAGGGGTTTTTGGGGCCATGGAATGTTCTTATGATGGTTCGAGACCCCTCCCCCTTCTGTAAGGGGGGGGGGGGCTCCCATACAAATGAAACAGAAATTTCTGCATAACTCGAGAACTAATCAAGCAAATGGAACCAAATTAGGCATGTGGGGGCGAGTGTGGGGGTATAAGGAGATAATCATAGAGGGTAGGCCCTTAGATAATAGGGGGGGGGGGGGCTACGTACAATATAGCATGCTTTTTTTTAAATCGGCGCATAAACTCAAGCTAATATTGAATCCCGAGCAAGACCGGGCACACTCAGCTAGTTATCAATAAAAATAACTTGATTTTCAAAACGGCCGATCAACGAAATTTTTCCAGTTATTCATATTATATGCTAAAACGGCCTAACATAATTTTTTTAGTGACAAAAAAGGGCCGATGATTGGAAATTTTCAAATCAAAGCTAGGCCCTACTGCTTGGGCTGGGCCGATGATTTCTCGCGTAACATTTGAAAAGGGCCGATGTCTAAAATGTAAACAAGCCCAAACATGAATTTTAAGAGTTGGTTGGAAATGCTAACATGAAGCTTTAGTGTGATGATTTATTAGCTAGAGAATGATCTTTAGAAGAGGGTAGGTGGATAGTTCCGTTGGAGTACGGCAGTATGAAAATTGAATAGAAGTTGAAAATGAGCGAAGGGCCATTAAAGCGACAGTTTTCAAGATAGACGCACATTTTTGCCTAGCCCGTACGATGTACGCGGGGACTTGAAGTATGTCTCCAAGTCCACAGGCAAAAATGTGCGTCCCTCTTGTTGCTCATAAACTGACTGCGGCTGTGGAATAGTTCTAGCGACGTTTTCATCACTACCTAAAGCCCCACGTTGCGAGAGCATTTCCAGTCGATGGTGTGTTATAATGCAGTTCTTCTTTACCCAACTATTGTGTTGCTCCTCTCGTCATGACCAACGTGATCATCTCAGAGAGAAAGCAGTAGGGTGGTTGTTGCGTGCTGTACCATCATCAACATTGTTGACGGCTACTCCCGCCTTGAGTTGTTACATTCAAAGTGTTTTTTATGTTACTTCATACGCGAAGTTAACGATTTTTAACGATTACAAATCGTGGTTCGCGTTTGCACTATAGTGGCGAGATGAGTGAAAAGAATTTACTTTTGTATACTTTTTTCTTACCGTGTAGATGGCAATAAGGCATTTTACGAGACAGATCGAGTCAGCTGATTTTATTCTGTTTACTAATTTTGACATTTACTGGCGGGCCGAATATCTTCATGCGCAACTACACGCCCTAATAAACAAATACCATAAACGAACTGTATCCCGGATGGGTAAACTATCCCACAAATGGTTTGGATGATACCCCGAACACGTCGTTAAGCTCTCTTTTATGGTTATTTTTATTAGGGCGGCCATCAAAAGTGACTCACGGAGTGTGTTTAGCTTGCTTACTTTTGGGTAAATCCGTGGCAAGCCCATACACTCGTGAGTTACTTTTGTTGGCCGTGTAGAGAAACAAAACAAAAATATCAGACGTAAACAATAACAATGCCACAAGCGGCCCGCCAGGAACTGTCATCAAAACGTCTCGTAAAATGGCCTATAGATGTATTCTTGTCTTAAATCAACATACAGCAAAAGCAAAGAAGAAAGTGCGGGAACAAACCTATTGTTATTCTGATCAATATAAATGCCTAAAATACTTCAATTTCCTTATACCTACACTGGAGTCGCTTTTTACGCGGGTGATACGTCCCGCGTAAAAAAGACCGTGTAAAAAAACCGCGTAAAAAGCGACTTTAGTGTATAACGATATACCGCGTAAAAAAAAAACTGCGTAAATTCCGAAATCCAAGTAAAAAAACCGTGTAAATTCCGAAATCCGCGTAAAAAGCGACTCCAGTGTATACGAATTAAATAGCGGCGGAAAAATTTACAATAAATTCATTTCCTGGTTTGTTTACATTTTGGAGAAAGGACATGGACAAAATGTTACGCGAGACTTAACGAATTCTGATGAAAGTTTAAAAAAATGTTTCGAGCATAATAAAGGATCCGGTTTTACTTTTTTTTTACCGGTGATAAAGATCGATCATGACCCCACCGATGACATCTTTTCGCCATGTTTTGCACATTAAAGCTCTGTCGTTTTCATAGAACGAACAACACAACACACTTCCGAGAATTAGCGTCGCAAAACCACACGTTCTTGATGTGCACAGTACAAAAACATGAACAATGCTGTAGCTTGCTTGCCCACACATTCCGTGACGGCTGCGGATGAGAGAACATTATCGCAACGGACAACGACAGAAACTCCAAACCACCATCCACTCGAAAGTTAATTAACATTACCGTGTTCACATATACATTATTTATCATGAGCCCGACCAATCGACGAACACATACACAGACACACATCCAGATGAACGAACCAGACGCATGGAGAACAAGCGCGAGCGCCACCAATATCAGAAATTTGCTGTGCACCTTCCTTCATGGACTATACCTATATTTTCATCGCCTGGCTTCTATCACCCACCATCGAAGGGCCGCCAAAAGAAGAGCCATTCAAGCTGGTTTCACGACGACACAGAATTGATGCGCTGCCTGCCGGCCGGCCGGCCGGTAACCATCAACGACAGCCATCAGCAGCAGTACAAAGTTCTATGCTGTTTCTGTTAGCTTGCTCCAGTCTTACTGTGTGGGTAGAAATCAGAGATGAGGGCAGCGGAAGAGGCCAGAGTGTGTCGTTCTTTCTATCATGGTTAATGTTGGCAAATCCCCACCAACGAACTGGAAGATGAAAACTACTTTAAAGCGCACTGCGGAGAGGAGAAGAACCAAGAGTAGAAGAGCCAAGTCCACGAGAACGAGAAAAGCAACGAACCGGTTTTTATTGTACTGGAGGTTCAATGCTTTGCAGAAAGATGGGAAGAACCTTCGGGAGAGCATGATGTGCTGATGTAGTAGGTATTCAAAAGGGAAGAGAAGAAATTATGTACGCATGTATGTCCTTGCCCTTAGAACGGTAACATTACAATTTGCGTTATATTTTATTTATGAAAAGCAATTCTGTAGGAGCTAGCTAGGCGTAAAATTTAGTTCCTATGTAGTTAGATTTTCTTAAAATACAGGATAGATACCTTTAAATAAAATAATAAGTAAATATCTACATTTGTATTCTTGATGCCATTGGGTAACACATACGAGAGCAGAGGAAATTCAGTTTCATCATAATTTCATTTATTCATCGTCAAAGATTAGGTATTTTGCGAAACGATACCGCAACATGTTCGTTTTTGTGGAATGTACAACATAAAGCCAAGAGCTCCAAAATTAAGACTTTATAGACTCTCAAACATACACGACCAGTAAGTTATGTATGAACCTGAGGGGGCGTAGATAAGACGTAAAACATTAGAATTGCTTGAACTCTAGTGTCTTCTTAAACATTGCGTTGAAATATATATATAAAATTTACAAAATCAATCTTCATTATTCCTCTAGTGTAGGAGTTCGCTAAAAAATCATTCTGTTCAAACGTTCATACACACAACATAAGTTTTTCTTATGAACTACTTGAATTCCGTGTGTACCGGTGTAGGAAGAGTCACTCATACAGAACTCACAAACGTTTGCCTGTATGCGTGGCAGAAGCCAAAGTTGTTGATCAGTGTTGCCAACTATACGAAAAAGATGAACATTTCCAAACGCGATGTACTGAACAGGAAAACAATTCTTTAAGGGAAATCGATGTAATGTCGACCTAAATGTGCCTAATTTGGGCCCATACATAAATTCAGAAATCGACTAAATTTTCAATAGAGACCAAAAATATCCAATAGCTTCGTCCCAATGCGTTCATCTAGATAAAATTGATAAATAGTAGAGTTTTAGCGATGGGCCCTATCTTAGATCCGTGAAAGTGATTTTGTAAACAATGGCAATGACCATCTATTTCTCGCGAATAAAAGTTGAAACATTCAAAGTAACGACATCAACAGATAGAGGGATGTTTTCTCTACCAGCTTGCATTGTTTATTTGAGTGCGTTTTTATTTGAGAGAAATTTGGGAGGCAAAATAACGGTAAATTACGAAAACTGGCAACACTGTCGAACTGATTCCCCGCAGGTGTCAGCGAGAAGTGCTAACGAGCTCAGGAAAGCTCTCGAAGAAAGCCGGTCGTGTCCAAACGTCAGGATTCAAATTTTTACCTGAATACTCATGTTCGTTTCAGCCAATTTAGAGGAAGATGTAAATCTATTTGAATGAGAACGCTGAAGATCTGCTATCGATCCAGGTAGTGGGTGATGTAGCGAGCGAGAAAAGAACTGAGAAGAAAATGAAATTGCTAACGTGTGTGCGAGAGAGAAGCGGCGGAGCCGGAGCCCCAAGCCGATCGATGACACCCCAACAGCCGCACTGAAGAGAGGAATCTGCAGCTAGCTGCTGCCAGTGAAAAATCAACGTATCCACCATTTTCCCTGCAACGTTCATGGCTCTCCACATGCACACGATGTTCAGATATCTGCACTCTTGGGCTAAGTGGTACATCCGGTGCAAATTTCCCGGAACATGCAGCACATTTTTCATAAGCCGGGAGCACCGATCGAACAAAAGACGGCCCTTCTGCGACTCCAGAAGTAAGGGAAACTTGGGGAAATATGGAAAGCGTCATGAAGATGAGCTTTTGGCAAACCCGTGTTTTAAAATCCCTTCCCCAGTAAACCGGAAGTGCTGCACTTACCTTGACGAAGCTGATGGAAGAGGTAGTACCCTCGATATCGCAAATGATCGTCTTTGCGGCGAGGACTTTCTCGTCGAAACTAACGGCTGCCATCTTTTTTTTCTTGCTTGCTAACGCACTCACGGGGAAAAGGCTCGTTTAACACTACCACACACTTGCACCGGGGGAGACAAAAATCGATACTCGGTCGCACTCGAGACGGATTTTTCTATACTCCAGGCTACTTTTCGCTTGGCGAATTTATCTCAAATTGGCAAGAAATGTTATTTTCTTCCGTTATTTTTCGTTTGCTTAAACACAAAGCAGCAAAATTCACTCACACCACGGAGCTTCAAAGGAAATACTGAGCGGAACGAGATTTGCGAAGACTAGACGCTTAACCGGCCGATGGCTTTCTACAGACTGAACGCGGCGTAAGCGGTTGACGAAGCTGCAAGCCATCGGGTTACCAGACATCAGTGCGAGAGAATCTACCGGTTGGTGAGAGGGAATTTTTAGCGGTAAAATAAGAGAAAGGCGGGAGAGCGCTGCTAGTCATATTTTTTTCACTGGAACTTTTTTTTACGGTTTTCGTATGCCAAGTGGGCTTGCAAGTGGGTATAAAGTATACTTTGGGTCTGAACCATTTGGTGGATTATTTTAACTTTTAGTTAAAATTTGACAGATGGAAAGTTATCGATGAACCCTGCTATCCGAGCTTTGTTATTTCTGACAGACAAAAAGTTAAATTTTGACAACCGTTGGTTAAAAACCGGTCGATCGACACCACGGGGATTTTCGAACATAGAAAATAACTTTCGAAATGTCACTTTTAACCACGAGTTAAATTTAACTCGGCAAATGGTTCACAGCCTTTATAGGGAAAGAGGATCTATAGCGTTCATTATGTTGCAAAGTAGACGTACTAATTAATTAAAAATAAAATGTCCGTATGAACTCCCCCGTTTTGTCTCCTCTTCCTCTTAGGCGAAAACGAACAACTTTTCTGTCAAACTTGAACCAGCTCGTGATTGGCCGATTTGAAGTGCGTAAGATAGAGATAGGTATATATAGAGATAGATATAGAAAGATAGAGATAAAAGAGTAAGAAGCCAGTTGTCTCCTCTTCCTCTTAGATATATTCAAGGTTAAGATGTTCGGGGGAATGTCTTAGAGGAGTACCCCATTTGGCATATTGCCACTTGGCATAGATGTGTAAAAAAGCTACCTATGCCGAAAAATTAGTTTAATATCCCAAGTAACATTGCAGGTTTTATCGGGGTTTTATAGCATTCTACAAGACTAAATCATTGTCTACAGAACCCTCATAAAACCAAAATTGTTACTTGGGATGTATTTGTATTTATAATTCAAGAACAACATGTGAAAAGGACATACAAGCTTTTTGTAAACAAGCCTTCTTATGCCCTTTTCTCGCCACCCATATGACAACAACACAAACCATCAACATTAGCGGGTCAGAGAAGCATCCCCTTTCCGTTGGTTTGCGTGGGCGGCCCTCGGTTGGCGAGAAAAGGGCCTACAAATGATTGTTTACAAAAAGCTTGTATGCCCTTTTCACATGTTGTTATGTGAAAAGGGCCACATTTTGAATTGTTAATTTTTCAGAACATATGCCGTGCCTTCCGCTAAGTCTAATCTAGGGACCAATCCCCTAGTCTATACACCTACTATCCATCGTTGCACTCGTCAGCTCGTGCGATACTCTAGACTCACATGGGTGATCATATCCGGGTCCTCCCCCGGGTAGGAGCAAAGGGCCGTCCAGGTTGTGGTACATTAACTTATCTCTATGTATGGTTTAAGCACAGACAAACAGACATAACACATTGAATATTTCTCACTGTAAAACATCGTCGCTTAAACATTACCGCCATCTGTTGAGTACACTGTGGTGGGTAGTACGCTGAACAGATGGCGGTAGTGTGTAAACGTCAAACGCAAGGGAATAGACTATGCGCGCCACAGGTGGCAGTACTACCAACTACGATACTTTTAAATTGACCGTTAAATGCTTGTTCGATGAACAACTTTCGAGTGTTATGTCTGTTTGTCTGTGGTTTAAGTACTACCAACAATCAATACGAAACTAACGATTTTAAATTGGCTCACCACTTTAGTAGCCTATTGGTCCCAAGCAAACGATTAACGTACCCTATTCTAGTTGAAATTCTATTACTACACTATGTTTGTTTTGATTCGCTATGAAAGTTTGACAGATAACATCAGGGGTGTGTGGATTCATGCAGAACATGCAGGGGTGAGTGAAATAGCTTGGGACTGCTTGGGACCGTTGTTCTGGTACTGAGTGAGCCAAAAATAATAATGATTTTCTTCGGGACCCAGTGGTCTTAGAGTTACCTCTATGGTACTACCATAGAGGTAACTCTAAGACCACTGGGTCCCGAAGAAAATCATTATTATTTTTGGCTCACTCAGTACCAGAACAGATAAGTTTGACAGATAACATCAGGGGTGTGTGGATTCATGCAGAACATGCAGGGGTGAGTGAAATAGCTTGGGACTGCTTGGGACCGTTGTTCTGGTACTGAGTGAGCCAAAAATAATAATGATTTTCTTCGGGACCCAGTGGTCTTAGAGTTACCTCTATGGTACTACCATAGAGGTAACTCTAAGACCACTGGGTCCCGAAGAAAATCATTATTATTTTTGGCTCACTCAGTACCAGAACAACGGTCCCAAGCAGTCCCAAGCTATTTCACTCACCCCTGCATGTTCTGCATGAATCCACACACCCCTGATGTTATCTGTCAAACTTTCATAGCGAATCAAAACAAACATAGTGTAGTAATAGAATTTCAACTAGAATAGGGTACGTTAATCGTTTGCTTGGGACCAATAGGCTACTAAAGTGGTGAGCCAATTTAAAATCGTTAGTTTCGTATTGATTGTTGGTACTACCACAAACGAAGTGACAGACGGAGCGGCTCGAAAACTTTGGTGACTAACCTGCTATTGCAATTTTTCAGTGTACCACATGGCAACACCACTACTACTGGATTGTACCATATGGCAACACTACTATTCGATTGAACTAGCATTTTCACCAAATTTACTAGAATGTTTTGGTTCTATCTCTTTCACTCTACTCAAAACTGAAATGCATAAAAAAAATGATAAAATGATACACTCTTTGCACACTGTCAAAGAATCATTGTACACAAAATCAACTTTGTGCAAAACCAAAACAAAAATAATATCCCACCTGGTGGATGATAGCACAAGCTTCTAAGAAAATTCTATTACAGTGAACCACATTATTTTAATCGATTTCTTCGCCAGTTAGTCGTCTGTCACTTCGTTTGTGGTACTACTATCACTACCAAACTCACCTTTTTCTACTATGATGATTTTACCTCGGATTTCACTGAAAGTTTATGAAGGTTAATGATTTATATGAGGTCTGTGCTGATATATATATAGTGTTTAAGGTGATTTCTCGTAGAGTCCACAAATGGCCGCCCCGTAGGCTATTCATGCACTTCCACTTCGAATGTTCAATTACACAAATCTCGGAAATTAATGCCCCATTTCACCTGAAATTGCTACTTCATGTATGCTGCAATACAGTAAACGTGAAGTAACAATTTCAATGTGGTACGTTTCGAGGAAGCTGATATTCGTGCACTTAAATTTTCAAAGTGGTTACGAGAATAAGGATCTCACAGCGAAACACCTTAAAGCTCGGTTTGAAGGTCATGTCACTCAAGTGGATGATTGGAGTTTATATGTAACTAGCTGAGTGTGCCCGCCCTTGCTCGGGATTCAATATTGGCTTGAGTTTATGCGTCGATTAAAAAAAAAGCATGCTATATTATAAGGAGCCCCCCCCTCTTATCTAAGGGACTACCCCCTATGACCATCTACTTATACCTCCACATGCCAAATTAGGTTCCATTTGCTTGGTTAGTTTTTATTAGGAGCCCCCTTACATTCACCAATGCCGGTACACTGGAACTATTTTAAATAAGTGCGATTAGCAAAAATCGTCGTTTAGCGCCCCTCTGTGGGACTTTGTATGGGAGCGAGTCAACTAATAGATTATCAAAAATTAAAAAAAATCCCCTAGTGGTGTTAGTATGGCGTGGGCGAGCTACCAGTGACACTAAACAGACGATCAAATGCATTGTTTACAAAAGCTGATACTTCCTTTTGAAAAAGTACTCGAGAGATCTTGATTTAAAACCGAGATGATTTTTTTTTCGAAATTAAACAACCTAATGAATCATAATAATAATAATATTATGATTACAGACCAGTCAACCCGGCAGCACCCTGTTCATGCCCCACATGCAAGGTTGCAAATACTCATTTCAGCTAAAACCATGTTTTTTTTTTTTAATTATGAAATAATTAGATGCCATGATCATATTTTGAATTGGTAGGATACAAGAAGAGGTTGCAAAGAATGTGTTTGACATATTAAACCTGTTTATTTCATTTCATGAGAGTCACAATCAGCGATTTTTCACACACTCATTCACTCACTCACTCAGCGATTGTGACTTTTTTTTTTCATTTTGTTTATTTGGCAGGCTCAGATGTTAAAAGAATAACTTAGCGGAGCCGAGTAACATGGAATACCAATTTTGGTACTCAAAATACAAACAAAAGATATACAAATGCATATTATTAAAGGATTTTCCTGGGTGGCGATCGAAGCGGCGACAAAGCGATCTTCTCCCGTGCACGCAACTTCTTTCTTTCCCGAATTTGTTCCTCATTTTCGTTGAACCCGAAACGTGATCGCTGCTGCTGCATCTGAACATCGTTTCCCGTTGCATGCTCTCCGCTACTCTCGTCGGTCGTCGGGGTCGTCTCGTCCATTTCGTTATCTTCATTCAACATCTCCAACCCCGTGTCCGTTTCCTGGTCGCTAATGACAAACGACGCACCTTCCACCACTACACCAGCATACGTACTGCTGCTGTTTTGTTTTCTTTCACTTTGCTTTCCTTTTTCCTTTAGTTGCTTCTCCGGTTCCTTCCGAGCCTTCCGCTTGGGACAGGAAAGCTTCCGGTGTCCGTCCGCCTTGCACAGAAAACATTTATCTTTGTTGCCATCATAAAATATATTTCCTTTGCGGTTGAAGAAATACAATGACGTGGGGATTTCCTTCTTCACATCCATATATATACCTACCGCGTATCCCTGTATAAACCTCAAAGCACAGACCAGATGGAAATTTCTCCCGGATGATGCGTTTAATTTTTCCATATTTCCCCAGCACTTTATCCAGCTCGTTGTCCGGTACCTCTGGTGGCAAGTCATACACACGCACATACTGGATAAATTCACCAGCATGCGACATGCGTACCTTTGCCGTCGTTCCATTCGCATAATGGAAGATTAAATCCTCCGAATTGTATGTCAGAGCATGGAGCATCGCTTCCTCTGATTTGAACTTTATGAAGACTCCCCTTTCCTCACCAATGCGATAAACAGCTTCCATTTCAGCCGGATCCGCGTCGAGTGCTTTGGCGAAATTTACAATCTCTCCGATGTTTGGTTTAGCATCATAATGGCTGAAGCTAAACTTGATGGTGTTTTTTACTTCACATATCTTGCACCGTAGCAACAAAAGGCACAAACTGATAGCAACGAACAAAGAGCAACTATATAATAGCAATAGCGAGTATACAAAAAAACAGGCTATCGCGTGGTTCACACCGAAATAAAAATTCGACTGCTGCTGTAGACAGCTGTGGGACAACTGAATGCCGATTGTGACTTATAGAAAGTAAAATTTACAGGTTTTATGTTTCAAACGCATACTTTGTAACCTCTTCTTGTAAGTTACAAGTAAAACATGCCATCATACCATCTTTTGGTTTTATTATTCCGAAAAACATTATTTTAGCTGAAATGAGTATTTGCAACCTTGCCCACATGGTCTAATATTCGATTGGTTTGAGGATGCCAGAATCATGTCTTCATTATGAAGAAATTTGAAATTTTTATTCCGGGACCAAACCTTATGTCGAACATAAGCAACCATTATCATATCTTCTAGTAGGGTAATAGCTAAAAACAGCTAAAAGCCACAATAGTCGCTATATAGCGACTATTATAATACTAAAAACGTGTGATTATACCATTGATGCGATTAAATTATTCTTCGAAAATGAGGAGTCTTCACAATTAGGCCTATTCTGCGCGGCGTGTGAGGTGAGGTGACACGCTGTCACTTTTGAAGTGACAATTGTCACCTCGCGTGAGGTGACTCTCCATTTGATTTGCACGGAGACTCACCTCACCCGAGGTGACAATTGTCACTTCACCATTACTTCACTGTCACCTCACCTCACACGCCGCGCAGAATAGGCCTAAATGAACACATAGTTGAAAGATCAATAGCTATTTTACGACTTTTCACTTTATTTTTGAAAGTATAGAGAACTATCGCTAATTACTTAATGTGCATCAAACTATTCTTATATAGGTACTTATGGCGATTGCAGAAGAACTATACCCAATACAAATTCTACTGACTTTGGTTCTGCAGAAAGATGACATCATCCGCAATTACACTGGTGGTGGGTCGCTGTTTTCCTTCCTGATCAGTTATCTCTCCGTAGGAAATCTTTCCGGTGACCATCGTTCGTTGACCCTTACGCAGGTAAGCCATCACCGCGTCTCGCAGAGCTGGTTTGAACACCACAACTCGGTGCCAGTCGGTTTTCTGCATCCAATCGCCGGATTCGTACCGATAGTTGGAATGAGTTGCCAGTGAGAACGTTACCACTGGGTGAGCATCGTTGCCACGCTTCTGCGGATCGGCTCCGACGCGTCCCAACAGCGTGACGCTGTTAACCGCTACAATGTTTGATTTGGATGATGTATAGACCATTACCTTAAAGGTCAAATTTACGTCATTGAATTACTTACTTTTTTCGATGCGGCCAGGATCACTGCAGTACGTTCGAACCAGCTTTGGCTGATTGTTCACTATTCGAGCAAGTTGCCGGATAAACATTGTAAATTATTGTACGGTAATTAAAGTAGAGATTGATAAATGCTTATAAAAATTACTGCTTATCACGCGAATTTTAGCCGGTATCACACATATGGCATGGATATGTAAACAACGTTTTGACGGACGGAGTGCGTTTAGCTTTAGCGAATTGTGTATGTCAAGTGAAGGGTCCAGCGAAAAATAAATTATTCCAAACTTGTCGATGATTGGTAATGCAGACGCCCCATGCCGAAGCGCGGGAACGATGAGATTGAAATTCGAAAATATTAGGTTATCCTGCCATGTGCTTACCGTTCATTAAGGCTGTGAACCATTTGCTGAGTTGAACGCTGTACAGACTATAGTCGCTATATTCATAGTCTGGCGGATAGAATATCGATCCATCAAAAAGCGGAACCAATTCAATATATTTTAAACCAATAATTGAAAAGGTACTATCAACTTTTATGAACAAAACGTTGATTATTCTTTCCTCGCCAGTCGAACGCAAATTATCAGCATCATCGGATAGGGGAAACTTTTCTCAACCCAAAGATGGTGTTAGTTTGCGTAGGCGAGCCTTGAGTTACGAGAAAAGGGTTTCCGAAGTTTTGTTCACAATTGCAGATGTGCTCTTTTCTGTTGTTGTTCGTGATTTGCTCGATTGGTTCCGCTATTTGACAGCTCAATTGGTTCCCGAGATTCTATCCGCCAGACTATTAATATAGCGACTATAATCTACACAGGTGTGGAAGCTGCCTCCAATTTACCTCAATGGATAGCATTCCATGTCCATCGGTGATTGGCACTCGATTGCAGAACAGCCAGAACAGAGACCGACGTTAAATAAAGGAAGAAGAATAGATCGCAGGCAATGGAATCGTGCACGATTCATTAACAAATAATGCAAGCCGGCGCCGGTGGTGTAGTGGTAAGCGTGACTGCTTTCTCACCCCAATGGGTCTGGGTTCAATCCCAGCAGAGGTCGGTGGGATTTTTCTGAGGCATAGAACTCTCTGGTCACGTCTTCCTTCGGAAGGGAAGTAAAGCCGTTGGTCCCGGCCCATAGGTGTTGTTGTGAATGGGTGCGATATCCTACGCAGGTGTGGAAGCTGCCTTCCTGCACATTCGATTGCCGTCAATGGATGGCAATCGATGTCCGTCGGTGATTGGCACTAGATTGCGGAACAGAGACCGACGTTAAAGAAAGGAAAAGAAGAAGAAGAACAAATAATGCTAGACAGAGCTGGAATAATGTAAAGAAACTGAAGTTAAATGCTATCACGCAGAAAAAACTATTGTCGTAACAAAAATATTTGAGGTAAATTTAAACGTAAACTCAGTTTGTTCTGGCCACAAACATAAATTAGGTTGATTTCAAACGTATTCCATGTTTGAAGTCATGTGAATTCAATGTTTAAAATAAAAATAATGTTACGTTTATTTCAAAAATATTTGTGTTGAAAATAAACGTATTTATTTTTGTTTGGTTTAATAAATATGTTTATTTTAAGTTTTTTTTTTTCATGTTTAAAATAAACATACATATTTTGGAATTATTTTAGTAGTTGAGTGCAGGGTAAAGCAAAATAAAACGGTTTGCAAAGAAATGAATTAAAAGATCTTCGGGCAGGGTATCTTAATTCCTGCTCTTTTTTGGGTGCGATTTAGGGTGACCTGTCGGTATTGGGGTCCTGGTCCGGGAAGCGAGGACCCGTTGGGGTGGGTGTCAGGCTTCAAAATTTCAGGATAATTTTTCTCAGTTCAAGCTCATTGCGACATTGACCCTTATTCCAGCTCTATCCAGAATAGGTTATCAAGATCCTCACTGGTGTTCCAGTACTAAAACCCTGAAACTGTTGAAGGACGTGTTTGAATAGAGTTCTCCAGATGCACAAGAGTTTGTGTGAGACCGCAGGATTCCTTTTTACCTAGTTCTGAGAAAGCCAAACCTGCTACGAAATACAATTGAGAAAATTTCTCATTATATAAGGAAAGTTCTTGTAAGTGATGCAAAACATCATGACACTCACTCGGCACTCGTCAACACATCAACCGACTATCGCTGACAGAACGTTTTGTCACGCAGTGAGAGGTAGAGCCATGGCAAACAACAATAACCATTAATAATCGCTGCTCACAGACAAAACGTAAAACTCACTGCCGATGATGTAAAACACAACGAAAACAGTGAAGACTGCAGCGATAAAAAGTGAAACGACAGAAGAAAATGAAAACAATGTCTACGCATTCCAAGTTTGTTTCGACACACGCGACAGTGTGAGTTACAAACAAAGCTGGCAAAATTAAACGGGAGCTGTTGGGCTCACTCACCTACACACTCACATAAGCAAGCAAAGCAGCAACTGCTTCAAAACGAGCACAGATTATAGTCGCTATATTCATAGTCTGGCGGATAGAATCTCGGGAACCAATTGAGCTGTCAAATAGCGGAACCAATCGAGCAAATCACGAACAACAACAGAAAAGAGCACATCTGCAATTGCGAACAAAACTTCGGAAACCCTTTTCTCGTAACTCAAGGCACGCCTACGCAAACTAATACCATCCTTGGGTTGAGAAAAGTTTCCCCTATCCGATGATGCTGATTGCTTTTTACTTCTTTATGGCTGAAAACTGAGAAAACCTACTAGCGAAAATAGATTTTCTCTCGTTCTATACGTTATAGGAATGCGCTGTAAACGCACCTTGATGCGCTATAATACGCGCTACTTCGCACACTATGTATAGCGAGGTATATAATGAGACATGAGAGTAAAATCAATTTTCACTAGTGTGTTTTTTGCAGTTTTCAGCTGTAACAACAATATATCCGGAGAACTTTGAGATTTGGGCGTTATTGCTTTTGTAAACAAACACGTCATTTCAAGACCAACAATTGAAATGGCCTCAACTCCATTTTGTAAACAAACCTTGTTAGGCCACACCCTTAGGACCTAATGCATTTGATCAGCTTGGCTTGAGCTGCCCAGCTCACATCAAAGAAGATGAAGAAGGCGCGTTAATTTTAAATCATAGATTTTTTATACTGCCCAAAAGAGACTAGTCTCTTTAGTAAAGAAATCTAATCTAATCAAAAGAGACTATACATACTGATATTGTTTATTGTAATTGTAATTGTTCAGTGCATAGGCTGTGCCTTCCGCTAAGAAGGCTTATCTAGGGACCAACCCCCTAGTCTATACACCTACTGTCCTTCCCGTTGCACTCGTCAGCTCGTGCGATACTCTAGACACACATGGGTGGTCGTATCCGGGTCCTCCCCTGGGTAGGCTCGTGTCCGTCCAGGTTCTGGTACATTAACTTATGCATGGTAATTATACTTTTAAAACTCACCTTTTGATTATAATGTCGAAAATGCTGAAACTAAATAAAGGTTAGCGATCCATATAAGGTGTGTGCTGCGACGGAGTAGTAATTGAAGGAAATGAGGTTCTGATGTGAAGTATAGGTAATTCTAAAATAGGTAAATCAATTAATCATTAGCTGCTAACAGTTACTAATAAATGGGTACGATAAATCACTCATCAATGAGTATTGCCACGCCCACTGAAAAATGGGCAAAACATTAATCATAAATGGATATTCGATTCCTACTGTGTATTTAAAGTAAAGTTAGGATCTTATCAAGCAAGCACACACCTTTTACGATTCTTATCCTACTTACGGTTTCCTGCACATACGACTTTTCCTAGATACAAGCTTCGTCCAGTATACATTGGCTGTCTCCAACCGGCATGATCCTTTCTGTCTGTTTCCTCTTGCCGGTGCAAGTTTAATTCTTCTTTTCTTGTTCGTTTCTGGTTTCTGGTCGTGTTCCCATTTGTCCTCAGGCAGTTAATATTAGTACATGATAGGAAGAAAGAAAGAAATAGAACAAGTTAAGTGTGAGCCGCATGCATTGGTTACTTATTTGGGTCATGGTGTTGTCTTCCCTATTTATTTGCCCTAGTCGCTCTCAAATCGAACGTTTAACGCTGGATCAACAATAGAAAAGGGCCCATCAGCATTCGCAAACAAACCGCTCCAAAGCCCCCCACTCACAAAGCGAAGGCCACCCACGCAAACCAACACCATCATCGGATAGGGAAAACTTCCACCTACACGAAGACGGTGTTGGCCCGCGCGAGCAGCCCCCGATCTGTGAGGAATGGGCTCTGGACGGTCTGCCCACAAAAACCGATGGGCCCCCTTCCATTGTTGATCCAGAACTCACCCCCTTCCCTCACACTATTATGGTCGGAAAAGAGAACCCATATTTAGGAATCTATCGCGAACTGCGATGCAGAAGATATTAATAGCAAACTAATCTGGAACTGGTCTAAGACATATGACCCAGTGAGCATTGACACCTCACACTGTTGTGAATGAGCACGGACGCGGGATTTACTAGAGTATTAAATACAAAACGCAAATTCAAAATAAAACTTGACAAGACATCGTCAATCCCCTTATTCTTGGGCAGGGTCTGACGATGTGAATCTGATTTTGATCAGTGAACGGGCCCCATATGATACATTTTCTCACCATGAACCTGTCATTTCCAGCCTATCTGAACTATTTAATAAATGGAAACCATAACATGGGTTACGCTTCCCCTAAGCGGGCCCTCCGCATCCTATCTCTGTCTTATCTCAAATGCCAATGGTTTGAATGTATCAATATATACATTGGGAATGACGTTCAATCAAATAAACCCATACCCCACTCACTTGGCCAGGCTTCAGAATCGTCCAGTGGGCAGTGCGCTCTACACTCCAAGTTCCCTTTCTTTCAAATTCACCCCAAATTTGATATTTTACCCCTTTGAGTGTTGATTAATCACAATGAAACATTGTGACAGAGCACGGACTTGAGGTTACTAGAGTATTAAATAATCTAGGTCCTATTTAGGATTATATCTGAAAAATCCAAATCTGGCCAACGCCCACCATACTGATATTGTTTATTGTTTATAAATATAACTATTTAGTCGAGTGATTACATAAGCCTACATCAGATGTCCCAGTAGCAACCGTTTCTTGGTTTTACCATTCTCGTTAGCTGTTAAGTTGGCGGTCTTGGTTTTCTTGGCGACTTGAGCCGACTCATCTATGTCGGTATCTAACGAGCGTTTCGATCTCTGGAAAGGGTACATTGGAGTCATAAAACTGGGTATATATATATATGTTGTACTGATACTAACCGTCTTATCTACAGCGGGACTAACGGCTGCGAATACGAAATTCCTTCCTTTCCCTGCTACAGCCGTATTGACTCCCTCGGTATCCGGATTCACTTTGACCAAGCTAGCTAGTTTGTTTAATGTATCCTCGTCACGTGATAGGAATGATGCTTTGTGGCCCTGAAATAGAGAAATCGAGGTCAGATTTGCGAAAAACCAAGCAAACAGTGCTTTTGATGCAAGGAAAAAATATCATTCCCATCAACAAGCGCTCCACTATCAGTAGTCAAAATTGGTCTTTCCCCGCGTCAAACTGGTTCGTTTTTTAACGAAAACTTATCCGGAAGGTAATTTCCAAGCAAGAAATATTCCCCACCGTGATGCCCGTTCACACCTGGCTTCGGATGCAGACGTTTCAACGTTCTAAGGTTCAGTGGCTTGCGCAACTGTTTGCCACTGTTTCGAGGCGCAGTTCCCACAGTCATGGGGTGATCGGTACGGAAAAATGTTCGCGACCACCGTCGCGTGGCCTAGTGCTCGGGGTTTACGCCGATGAGCACGATCGAGACGACAACGGTCTACTGACTCCGGCTGCGGCCAAGTATAACGAGGTAGGTTAAATTTGAGCACCCATGCAAAAAAAAAAATCTTTCAAACATGCCCCCTTTCAGTCCTACACTAATGGGGTACTGATGGATATGCTTCGCATAGCCGGACCGATGCCAAAACGTGGTGAAACGAGAATTTTCTTCAATCTTGAACCAACCTATTCGGCGGTAGCTGTTTGTGGCCTCGGTAGCACCTGTCTTGGATATGATCCGATGGAAAAACTAGACCTGTCGAAGGAAGCAATTCGAGTAGCTTCTGCGAGCGGATGCCGTGAGCTCCAGAAACTGGAAACCAACCGTATCTATGTGGAAGATTTTGGTCACGCGGAGTCTGCTGCAGAAGGTGCCCATATGGGTATGTGGATCAATCAGAACCTGCGCAACCCGGAGAGTCGTTTGTTCATACCCCAGCTTCAGTTGTACTACGAGCCGGAAATGCCATGCGATTCAAATGGATGGAAAATTGGGCTAGCAAAGGCTGAAGCACAAAATCTGGCTCGCCAGTTGCAGGAGGCTCCCGCTAACCATATGACTCCGACGACTTTTGCACAGAACGTCGTGCAAATATTGTGTAATTCGGGCGTGAACGTAGAGGTCAAGGTGCGTAGCTGGGCAGAAAGTCAAGGCATGACTTCGTTTCTGACGGTGGCCAAAGGATCTTGTGAACCACCGATATTCCTGGAGCTCAGCTATTACGGAACCAAACTCAGTGAACGGCCGATTGTACTGATCGGACAGGGAAACACATACGATAGTGGCGGTATTTGTGCCAAGAAGCTGCACGCTTTACGAGATATGCGGGGAGATATGGCGGGAGCGGCCTGTGTGGTAGCCACGTGTCGGGCGATCGCGGCATTGAAGCTTCCTGTAAACATAAGAGCACTGATTCCACTGTGTGAACACATGATTGGGTGCAACGCTATGAAGGCTGGTGATGTCATACCGGTGAAAAATGGGAAGAGCATTGAGGTAGTCGATACCGATCACGAAGGGCCACTCGTTCTGGTTGATGCGCTACTATATGCGGCAAGCTTTGGACCCAAATACATTGTGGACGTTTCTACGATCTCGGATCATGTGCTGAATTCCTTCGGTAAAGTTTGCAGTGCCGTATTTACCAATTCGGAGGACTTGTGGCAAAGGATCAAGAATGCTGGAATACACACAGGCGATCGAGTTTGGCGATTGCCTCTGTGGGAATACTTTACACAGCAGATGTGTTCGGTTCAGCACGTAGATGTGCAAAACTACGGCAAAGGAACGGGTGGAGAGTCGTGCAAAGCAGCGGCTTTGTTGAAAGAATTTCTACCGTGCGGCCAATGGATGCACATCGATGCGTACAATGTTATGACCACCAAGGGAGAGGACTACCCGTACCTTCGGCGGGGTATGGCCGGGCGACCAACCAGAACATTGATTGAGTTCATTGCGCAAGCTTGTTGCAAAAACAAATTTAGCACGACTCAACATTAAGGTAAACTTAGAACCGTTGATCCCGATGTTTGTATGGTGAAACTATTTATCAATGAATTATCTTAATTTGGACGAATAAATTATTGATTGTTATTCTATGTTTCCGGTTAGTTCAGTGAAAAGATTTTGTGGACTGTATATGTTTTATTCCAAGTATTTAAAAAATTATCCGGTTTTCCCTCTAATCCACATTAAAACAAGTACCATTCTCTTATCAAATGTTTTATTTCATATTCTGTTCACTATCGCAAAGACACCATACAGTGGCGGGTGTCACTTCACTGTGGAAACTTGTCACTTGTCGTCACGGTGAAGTGATTCCCATTTGATTTGTACGGCAATCACGGCTCTTATTCTGAGTATCACTTCCTTATCACCGTGTAGCAGTGGCATCCCGCAACCTAACTTTTTACCTGTGCACCAACTTTCAAAACCAGATTCAATGCCATATTCAAACTCGAATCGGTATACATATATCTTCTAGTTTATTCGATATTTATCCATTGTAAGCAATATTTTGATAATTGTTTATGTTTTGAGAGTTAGTGCACAGGTAGATTGAGGTTAAGGAAACGTGTAGTGACACCCGTAATAAGGCACACAGATTTCTGTTAGACATAGGGGATATGGATGTAATGTCGACCTAAATGCCCGTAATTTGGGCCTATACATAAATTCAGCAATCGACTAAATTTTCAATAGCGACCAAAAATATCCATTAGTACCGTCTCAATAACACGTTCATATAAAAAATTGATCATTAGCAAATAGTGGGCATGAGCGATCAGTTTTCCTCCGATGTCTTCACTGACTACTTAAAAAGTCAAAATGAAGACATCGCTATTAATGATGTAAAAGTAGTGAACATGTTTGAAAATCCACGCTTCAATTATAACAAGTTTAGTGTTGTAATTGAAGTCAATGTTGATGTTTGTTATGTGCGAAAAAAGTAAAGGTAGGGTTTGATCGGTGCTCGATAGTTCCCGCGATTAATGTGTTGAGATGCTTCAAATGTGGAGAATTTGGGCACAAGAGCATGGATTGCAAAAATTGTGAGAGATGCTCTAGGTGCAACAACACAAAACGTCGGAGTGTACGTCAACTGTATTGAAATGTATTAATTGTTTGAACATGAATAAAGAACGAAAAATGAACTTGGACGTCAACCATGCCGCATTTAGATCGGAATGTTTGCTCTATAAAAGACTTTTTGATCAGAAGAAAAGCAGCTTGCGTTTCAATAAATAGGAGCCAAGTTCCAGGAATGTGAATCAATTCGAATTTTTATATTTGAATATTGCGGGGTTGTCAACAAACTACGTAGCATTACGTCAGATTGTTGAGGCAAAACGTCCTCTTTTAGTTTTCTTATCTGAAACTCATATTGCAGAAACTGAAGCTTTTGATCAGTATAAAGGGTGATACGGTCAAAATTTGGTCAAGGGAAAACGCGTGTAAATCGGTGAAATCGTTTATTTAAAAAATCAAATTAAATTTCTTTTTCAAGTTCAATTAGTATAAAATTCAGTAAAAATATTCAGTTAGGCTTCCGCTTTTCCAAATCCGAATTGCCGGGCTTTACGCTTGACCCCTGCCATCAGATTTTGTACAGCCACCTTGTCCACCTTCTTCGCCACAGAAAGCCAGTTTGCCTTGAACTGCTGTTCGCCCTTAGCAGTTTTTTTGGTCTTCTTTAGGTTCCGCTTGACAATAGCCCAGTATTTCTCAATTGGGCGGAGCTCTGGCGTGTTGGGAGGGTTCTTGTCCTTGGGAACCACCTGCACGTTGTTGGCGGCGTACCACTCCATGGCCTTTTTACCGTAATGGCAAGATGCCAAATCCGGCCAAAACAGTACGGAACAACCGTGTTTCTTCAGGAAAGGCAGCAGACGTTTATTCAAACACTCTTTCACGTAAATTTCTTGGTTGACAGGCCCGGAAGCTATGAAAATGCTGCTTTTCAAGCCACAGGTACAGATGGCTTGCCAAACCAGATATTTCTTTGCGAACTTTGACAGTTTCATGTGCTTGAAAACATCTGCTACCTTTCCCCTTCCTTTTGCCGTATAAAACTCCTGTCCCGGAAGCTGCTTGTAGTCGGCTTTGACGTAGGTTTCGTCGTCCATTACCACGCAGTCAAACTTCGTCAGCATCGTCGTGTACAGCCTCCGGGATCGCGCTTTGGCCGTCGTATTTTGTTTATCATCGCGATTTGGAGTCACTACCTTCTTGTAAGTCGATAGTCCGGCTCGTTTTTTGGCTCGATGCACGGTTGTAGACGATACACCCAGCTTATTTGCGGCATCTCGGAGAGAGAGGTTAGGGTTTCGCTTGAAACTACCGGCAACTCTCTTTGTCGTCTCAGCGGCTTCCGGTTTTCGATTTCCCCCCGATCCAGACTTCCTGGCTGTCGACAAACGTTCCCCAAACACTTTAATTACATTTGTAACGGTTGATTTGGCAACTTTTAGCGATTTTGCCAACTTTGCGTGCGAGTAGCTCGGATTTTCGCGATGCGCGAGCAAAATTTTGATACGCTGCTCTTCTTGCTTGGACGGCATTTTGACAACTGAAGAGTGAATTCCAAAATCAAAATAGGAGCAACATTCTACACACACGCACCTTCAAAATGAGGGGTGTTCAGGTTTTTTTAAATGCAAAATTGAAAGAAATACGTCAAGTTGATATTGACCAAATTTTGACCGTATCACCCTTTAGTATTCCGGGATATATTCCCCCTTATTCTGCGAGTCACGTGACTCTCTCTCACCGGTGAGGTGACAATTGTCACCTCACCGGTGACAGAGAGTCACGTGACTCGCAGAATAAGGGGGATTGTTGCTGCTTGTTTATCACATTCTAGACACACTGGCGGTGTTGCTATTTATGTCAAATAATCAGTTCAATTCAACCTTCGTACCAACGAAGTTATTGATGGCAACTGGTTCTTGGGCATTACAGTTGTACGTGGCATGAAGATGGGTAATTATGGTGTTTTGTATCATTCTCCCAGTTCTAGTGACCAGCGTTTTGTTAAAGTTTTAGAGAACTGGCTTGAAACATTCCTTGATTCTAGTAAATTAAATATATTGGCTGGTGATATTAATATCAATTGACGTGATAACCATAATTCAAATCATTTGAAGCGTTTAGCTGAATTTTTTAATTTAAAGCAAACGATAAATGAGTATACGCGTATTTCCAGGCACAGTAGAACTTTAATTGACCACGTTTATTCCAATTTTGATTCCATTTGTTCAGTTAAGGATACTGATTTGAAAATAACAGATCATGAGACCTTAGTGATTAATGTCTTAGACCATGTTAACGATAACGATAATTTTGTAAAATTGAAGTGTATTCGAAGCAAGCTGTTTCGAATTTTGTTGAGAGGAGCGAGGATTTTCCATTCGGGGCCGGTAACTTAGATGAATCTACAGCTGTTCTTAATAACACTTTGAAAACGTGTACTAATCAACTAGTTGAGCAAAAGATTGTTTCTTTGAAGAACTCGACCAGCTGGTACAATTTGGATCTTTTGCGTCTTAAACGGAAAAGGGACAAATGGTACAAAAAGTTTTGTAGATCAAATAATGACAATCATTGGAATAGGAACACCGTGTATTCATTCCATAATTCAATACCTAATCTGCGTTTGGGGTCATGCTGCTAAATCAAAACTTAAAAAAAATCAAACGTTGCAGAATAGATGTGTGAAAGTAATCTTTAATTTACCTCCCTTATTCTCAACAGTTTTGCTTTATACTAGTTCATGCCACAGAATTATCGCCATTCTAGGCTTGCGCGATTCTCAAACAATTTTGTATGTGCACAACACGTTACATAACCGTAATTTCCATCACAACATTGTTTTTTTCGACTAGAGTTAACCCTCAGAGAACTAGACATGCAAATGAGTTACTGAGAAGCAGAGCATGCACGAACTTGGGTCTAGGTCGCATCACAAACTACGCTCCATTAAAGTTCCCATCGACTTGAAAGCAATAATGAACAAAATTCTCTTTAAAAGCAAGCTGAAGCAGTATATAATTATGAACGTAAATGAATATATTCTCTAAAAGTGTCTACCATTTGCATATGTAGGTTTTTTCTGGCTCCTGCTATTTTTTTTTCCTGCATCAGTAATTATAGTATAGTTTAATAAGTTCAATTTTTTATGTTAAGCCACAAACGTTATCACTCTTTAAATTATTTAGAATTTTCTGTTGAGTAAGTGAATCCCTTCAAAGGAACTATGTTCCACTGGGATTTACATTGTTTTTAATTGTAGTTTTTTCTCCGCGTTTTCTTTGTTTTTTTTTAGTAAGTGTCCATTACCAGGGGGCTCTCTGTGCGAGCTCCTTGGTGTGGGGGTTAGTGGAGGGTATTAAAAAAAAACTAAGAACAAAAGCACCAGAACTTTTGTCTTGATAAATTCCCATCCTAGACAATGTCCATTGGCTTTACTCTAGAGTACACCTTATGCTTCACCTTCGTGTTCATTTCATGCCCTCCAACGATCGATATGTTCATCAATTAATTGGCCAAGGCATCGAAGTTAAAAAGGGCAACTTTTAAAGTTAAAACCACCACTGGTTGAATTCTAGGCATACGGAATAAGTAGCCATAAACTAAACCTACCTGCACAAACGACGATTTCGTAATCAAGAACGGTGAATCCTGTGGCGTATTCACACCAGAGCACCGCTTCGTTCGCACAATGGTGATCTTCCTCTTCATCGCCGACAACGTTGTATTGTTAGCACTTCCATTATCCTCATTTTCCTCATCCATAGACCGATCCAACAGAGTCCCGGTGAGATCTACCTTATCCAAATCAATCTTCTTTTCTTTCAGCAGCATTTCCCGTTCGTATCGCATTTTGCGCCATTGGGCCTCCGCTTCCCCATCACTACCTTCTCCATCCTCTCCTCTCTGCTCAACATCCGCCGCCTTTTTGTCGTAATCCAAACTAAACGTCGTTTCTGCATTCCGCCAACGGAATTGTCTCTCACGGCCTACACCATCCTTTTCTTCATCTTCGAAGAATATATCCTGCAACGATTTGACCTCCTTTTTGTCCTGTTCCAGCATCCTACGCAGATGAATCTTCTCAAGCTCGTGCTGCAGTTTGCCTTGATCAAACTCTTCTTCATCTCCCAGTTCGATGTCATACCGATCGAGATCCTTCTCATCCTCATCCGCACTACCCCACTCCGATTCGGACAGCTCGGCTTCGTTCTCCACAAACGCACTAGCCACCTTCTGTTTGTCCTTCTTCGTCAACACCACTTCGATTTCATTTTCCTCCGAATCATAGTCAACAAATCGTTCGGCTTCCTCCTCGTCTATCAGCATTTCTTTCTCGTGCTCGGCTGCATCTTCTTCACTTTCCTCATCATCCGAAATGTTTGCGTTTCGTCGTTTAGGTTTCCTTCGTTTCTTCTTTTGGACATCCCGTTCTTGGTCCTCCTCGTCCGAAGAAACAATTACCAGTTTGCCCTTGGTAATCACTTCCGATGGCTGGAACGGTTCAGTGTCCAGGTTGACATTTTGCTGCTGTGTAGCAAACGTTCCCGAACAGAGGGCAATCAGTTCGCTATCATCGACCGGATGTTCTCTGGTCTGCGTAAAAAGAGCCGCCGCAGCCGTTGTTGGTTTTTCGCTTTCCGGTGTCAAACGATCGCTTTCGGTGAGGGCAAGGAAGTCCGAAGGAGTCGCGGTCATTGGTTGGGTTGTTGAAAGAGATTCGGCACCGGTCAACGGTGGAGGAGCTTGAGTTTCACCGAATCGACCGGAACATAGGGCGAGAAGATCATCTTCTGCTTGAGTGTTTGCGGTATCCGGTTCTTCCGTGTCCTTCCAGAGGAGAGTCATGTTCTCACCCGTTTCGAGGTTGTTACGATCCGAGGGGGTGAATTTGTCGTTGCCTGAAAGAATGGATGTAAAGTTACAAGAGTTGAAATTTGCTTAACGAAGAAACCTACCGTCCAACATGGAGAATAGCTCTTCAGTTGTCGTCTTTTGCACTGCCTTGGGTTCAGCCTCATCTTTTCCTTGAATTTCCTCATCTGAGTCTTCGAATGCGGTAATTATCCGACTCTTCTTCTTCTCACCATTAACCATAGCTGGTTTGTCTATTGATTCTTCCTCACTTGACTCTTCTTCATCGTCGTCATCATCATCCTCATCATCATCATTTGCCTCTTCTTCCGGTGGCACTTGATCTGTTTCCTCAGCTTCTTCATCGTCCTCGTCGGCTTCATCATTCAACAGATCGCAAAGCTTCGCATCGCCGACCTCTTCCTCATCCTTATCATCTCCTTCATCTTGGTTGTCCTCAACATGTTTGTCATTTTCGACGATTTCGTCCTCTTCATCATCTTCAATATCCTCTTCATTATTTTCATCCTCCTCATCGTCCATCTTCTTCGCCGGCCGGATTCCCTCTTGCCTCTTTCGTAGTGTTTCCATTCGAGCCTGTCCCATCTTTTCCCACAAGCTCTGCTTCAGTTTCGCGTAGGCTGCACCGGGAATGGGTTCCTTTCCATTAGGGTTCCGTTCTTCCTGTTCCAACCCAAGCGAAACGGTGCTCATTTCCACCACACCCTTGTCGGTACTGAGGATATTCAAATTGGCGGCCCTTTTCGCCTTCTTTCCACTGCACTTGGCAAAGCGCTGGAATAGTATGTCCGGTCCCGAGGGTGCCTGATCATCCGAATCCAAATCGATAATCATGTTCGGGTTACCCCTCAAACTTGGGAACGCTGTTATGGAACCATTCGATAGGAGCTCTGCTTTCTTCTGTGCCAGCTTCGAGGGTGTTGGTTCCGAGAAAATATCATAATCAATTCGGGGGGTTTCCTTGCTCGGTCCAGCAATGGGTTCCGGTTCTGTTTCGATGATTGATGCTGGTTCTGGTTCCGCTTGAGAAGCCAGAAGAAGTTCAACGTTTTCATTGGTTTTGTTGACCAAGGCATCTAAAGCATCTTCCTCCGTATCGGACACCCGGAGGGATTCGCCAAGTTCGGTGTCCATAGGGGCACTTCTCTCCACGGCCTCATTTTCCACTTCGTTTGATGAAGTATCGATCACCGGGTGTCCTTCATGCGCTTGAGGATCGTTCTGATCATCAGCCTTACTTTCTTCATAAGAGATTATTTCGTTGGAAATTTGATTTTCCGCAGGTGTTACCTCGACATCAGTCTTTTCCTCTGTTTCCACCACCGACGCTGGCTCCGTAGGATCTTCGTCGCTTTCGCTTTTGAAAAATTCCATAGCTTCCTTTTCGCGTTCCTCAAGTTGTTTGGCATAGGCTGCCAACTGTTCGGGAGTCATTTTGATGGCAGCGGCTGCTTTCCTACGACCCATTGCTAAACCTCCCGACGCGTCTGACCCAACAGTAGATTTGTGCAACGTCCTACGGTTGAGGAATTCCTGTAACGTGTGCTGTTTGGGCCGATGGTATGGAACCGATACGCCGGCTTCACGGGCCATCCTCTGCGATTCACTTTGGATGACCTTCATCTGCTCCATTGCTGCCTTAGCAGACATCTGGAAGATGGTGGAGATTCAAATTACGGAAGCATGGTAATGAGGTAAAATACTAGGGGTTATTCCGAGAGTCGAAGTGACTTGTCACTAGTGAAGTGAGAAAGTCATTTCGACTCTCGGAATAACCCCCACTAAAACTTACTCGTTGAGGTTTCTCATCCGGCGTCTTCCTTTCTTGTTTGTTTCGCTTCTTCCTGGATTCGCCATCGCTGCCGCTTTGACTGTCAGTGCTTCCGGAACTACCCTCTTTATCAGAGTTCAAAGTACTGCCTGATCCAGGACGACCATCTTCGTCACTGAAGTCCAAGTTCAACTAAAAATTAGAGACATTTAGGTACGAGTTCCCAAAATCTTCTTTCGTACAGACTTACGCTTGCCAGCAGATCATTCGGGTCACCTGTCTTGTTCTTGCGCTTTCCTTTTCCGCGTTCCTTTTTTGTTTTAAGCTTTTTTTTCTTCTTTCTGGATTCACCATCCGAATCGTGAGCTGGACTGGCCGAGTCCGAGTCGATCAACGACTTGAATCTGCTCATGGACTTCTCAATCTTCTCGCCAATAGCATCGACTTCCGCGTTTTGTTTGCTCAGAAGATGCTCGTCCGAATCTAGATTCGGTTGCTTCTTTTCCACCGGACCATCCGAATCATCACTATCGATTATATTGGAAACCTTCCTGGTCAGTTTCTGAACTGCCTCACTCTGTTTGCTCTGTTCTTCTTCCGATTCAGTATCAATCAGCTGGGATATTTTCTTCCGGCTCCTAGCCACGGATATTAACTCTTCTTCGGAATTATCATCTTCGATTGTTGATAATTTTCCGGGGTGTTCTTCAGGTTCCTTAGCAGCAGACTCAAACTCGAACGGAGAAGCCACTAGCGAGTGATGGTCATTACTCAAGCTCGAAATTCCTACCGGAAGTGCCTTATCCGTTTGATGCTCACCGTCCGACTCGTCAATCCGCAGCTTATCTTCCCCATGCAGTTCCGAGTCCGAGTCGTAGGTCAGAGTCATTTGCGAATCCGATTCGCGATGTTTTGATTCGTCAGTCATTGGATCAGTTTGTTGCTGGCTGTTGCGAGAACTCTGATTGGAATCTTCGTCCATTACGATCACTTCACGCTTTGACCGCACGTAATATTCTTTAAATGTACACGAATTTCACTTGATTTATACGAATGGAATTTTCCGAAAAAAGGAAAATTAAAACGAAAAACAATATTACAATATTTTGTCACGACATTTGCTGCACTAATCACCCACGATTTGCCGTTTTTCCCGCCACAAAAGGCAAGTTTCTGAAGTGAGTGTCCATAACAAACGGAGCTCACGGAAAAGAGTTCCCTCACTTAAGCCCTTCAGAATTTTCATAAAAAAGTGACGTGTGACGCAAACGTCAAAAACTTCGCAACCGCGCGCGATCAAAACAAAGCGCGGTTTTGGCTTGGCTGGAAGCATTATAAATTTTTTTTTGGAAAATTCGCAAAATTCGTGTAAAAGCGATTAAATTTGACCTGTACGGTACGATAATAGACGGCGGAGATGACATCGATCATCAAGTTGCATGCCATTTCCGGCGCAATGGACGAATCGCCCCCGTGCTACATTTTGCAAGTGGACGAGGTTCGCTTCCTGCTGGATTGCGGGTGGGACGAGAAGTTTGATCCAAACTTTATCAAGGAATTGAAAAAGTGAGTTTTTGTTTGTTTAGGTATTCAAGTGTTCTACCAACGATCAATTTTCAGATATGTCCACACGATCGACGCCGTACTGCTCTCATATCCGGATGGTCTTCATCTGGGTGCTCTGCCCTACCTGGTCGGCAAGCTGGGTTTGAATTGCCCGATCTATGCCACCATCCCGGTCTACAAGATGGGCCAAATGTTCATGTACGATCTGTTCATGTCGCACTACAATATGTACGACTTCGATCTGTTCACGCTGGACGACGTCGATGCCGCATTCGACCGAATCATTCAACTAAAATACAACCAGAGCGTGTCGTTGAAGGGAAAGGGATACGGTATAACAATCACACCCCTTCCGGCTGGACACTTGATTGGTGGTACCATTTGGAAGGTGATGAAAGTCGGCGAGGAGGATATTGTGTATGCTACCGATTTCAACCATAAAAAGGAGCGACATCTGAATGGCTGCGAGTTGGAGAAGTTGCAAAGGCCATCACTGCTGATTACGGATGCATACAATGCAAAATACCAACAAGCGCGCCGTCGGGCTCGAGACGAGAAGTTTATGACTAATATTCTACAAACACTGAGGAATAACGGAAACGTCCTTGTTACGGTTGATACGGCTGGACGAGTGCTTGAGTTGGCACACATGCTGGATCAACTGTGGAAGAACAAGGAATCAGGTTTGATGGCGTACTCATTGGCATTGCTGAACAACGTTAGTTACAACGTGGTGGAATTCGCCAAGAGCCAAATCGAATGGATGAGCGATAAGCTGATGAAAAGTTTCGAAGGTGCACGGAACAATCCGTTCCAGTTCAAGCACCTGCGATTGTGCCACACCATGGCGGATTTGGCCAAGGTTCCGAGTCCCAAGGTAGTTTTGGCGAGCTCTGCCGATATGGAGAGTGGATTCTCCAGAGAACTGTTCGTTCAATGGGCAGGCAATGTGAACAATAGTATTATCATCACGTGCAGATCGTCTCCTGGAACGTTAGCTAGAGATCTGATTGAAAACGGAGGTAACGGGCGAAAAATTGAATTGGACGTGAGACGACGTGTGGAGTTAGAAGGAGCTGAACTTGAAGAATACATGCGCACAGAAGGGGAGAAGCATAATCGTTCGATTATCAAGAGTGACATGGATTTGGACAGCAGTTCAGATTCGGAAGATGAACTGGAGATGTGTATCATCACCGGAAAGCACGATATAGTCGTACGTCCTGAGGGTCGTTCCCACACGGGTTTTTTCAAATCCAGCAAAAAGCAGTACGCAATGTTTCCATTCCACGAGGAGAAGATCAAGTTCGACGAATATGGAGAGATTATTCAACCCGAAGACTACCGAATGGTTGATATGGGTCCGGATGGTGGTTTTGAAGATAACAAAGAAAATCAAATAAAGCCCGAGGACATCAAGAAGGAGAAGGATGACGAACTTTCGGTATTGGATAAACCGACCAAGTGCATCAGCAGCCGTAAGTTGGTTGAGGTAAATGCACAGGTACAGTTCATCGATTTTGAAGGAAGGTCAGATGGCGAATCCATGCTGAAGATTCTGTCGCAACTTCGTCCACGCAGAGTGGTCGTCATTCGTGGATCACCTCAGAATACTGCCCAGATTGCCGAGCATTGTCAGCTGAACATCGGAGCCCGGGTTTTTACACCCAACAGGGGGGAAATCATCGATGCCACCACTGAGACTCATATCTATCAAGTTCGTCTTACTGAGGCCCTGATTTCGCAAATGGAATTCCAGAAGGGCAAGGATGCCGAAGTGGCTTGGGTAGATGCGCAGATTGTTATTCGTAACAAGCAGTTCAGCACGCAGGGGGGCGAGGGAGACGTCAGTGGTCCGTTGAGTGGCACCACAAATAATGCCACTACTAACAATGCGATTGCTGCGGCAGCAGCTGCTGCCTCCGATACTCCGATGGACGTTGATCAGATGGCGGAGGGCGGCGATGACAAGAGCGATCGGCAGATTTTGACGCTTGAACCAATGAAGAACGATGAGCTGCCGGCTCATAATTCGGTGTTTATCAACGAGCTGAAGCTGATCGATTTCAAGCAGGTGCTGATGAAGGCCAGCATCGTTTCAGAATTTTCGGGTGGTGTGCTATGGTGCAGCAACGGGACGGTAGCTTTGCGACGAGTCGACACCGGTAAGGTTACCGTGGAGGGATGCTTGTCGGAGGATTATTACAAGATTCGGGAATTGTTATACGAACAGTATGCTATTGTGTAAGATCCGAGCGCAGTTGAATAAAGGTAGCTGATGGATCATGAGTGAGGTCATTATTAAACAGAGAAATCCTTAGTCCACTGGTGATCATAGCAATGGAAGTGGTTTGGGCTAAATTATTGTAGAAGCATAGGAAGTTTTCATTCTGGAGTGTGTAAATGCTTTATTTTTTCGGTTACGAATCACAAGCAAAGTAACCTAATCAACAAAATCATGTAAATTAGGATAAGGAATCCTAACAAAAGCAACTTGGATCCGTATAACTTTAAACAACAAAAGATGGGAAAAAATCTCAGTTGTTTTTAAGTTTTGTTGGAGTTTCAACGACAGTGAGCATAGTAGCCTAGACTAGATCGCATCAACCACATTATAAACTGTTTCAATAATTGGTCATTGTTCTTCAAGCTATCGCCAAATCCAGACTTGGTTTTTGTTTCAAACGGGACCAAACAGAAATCTGATTATTGAAAGGCTTATTGATATGGAGAATTGGACAACCACTCAGATTTTCTCGCTGTCCAGACGTAGCTTGAAGTAGAAGATTTGTGGAAAGCGGTCGAGCTGGACTTCACTGATAAAAGAAAGCGTTTCCATTATGTCCATTTTTTTCCATCTCGCTGCATCGTATTCAGTAGGTGACCAGTAGCATTTCTTCATTCCATTATTTAACGTCGGTCTCTGTTCCACAATCTAGTGCCAATCACCGACGGACATCGATTGCCATCCATTGACGGCAATCGAATGTGCAGGAAGGCAGCTTCCACACCTGCGTAGGATATCGCACCCATTCAACACACATGGGCCGGGACCAACGGCTTAACTTCCCTTCTGAAGGAAGACGTGACCAGAGATTTTTATGCCTCAGAAAAATCCCACCGATAGCCGCCGGGATGTTCTGAGGCATAACATCTCTGATCACGCCTTCCTTCGGAAGGGAAGTAAAGCCGTTGGTCCCCGGTTCATGAGTTGATGGGTCGCTTGCCACTACACCACCGGCGCCGGCCGTATCCAGTAACATTTGCCACTAAAAATTCCTGAGGGCGCAAAAATTGCTCTAATGTTCCCTGAACATCTACAAAGATCCCTAATCTTTAGTTCTAGAACAGCTACGAAGTTTCATCAACTTCTTCCAAGTTTCATAATATTTTTTTTCAAATTCTTTCAATTCAACCAAGATCTCAGAATGACCTTCGCCAAACATCAGGAAAAACCTTGAACCTTTTTCCTAAACATATGGACGAAACTAAGTTTCCAAATCAAACCCTGAATTTCTAAGAAGTATGCTGAATTTCTTCAATACGCCCTGACCTTCTGCGAAACTTCCTGAACTTCTTCAGTTTTGGCCATTTTTTTTTGTAAAAGTATTGTTTATTTCTGTGTTAATACATTAATTTACACGTATTATTGTTCACAATCGATGTAAAAATTTAGGGCACTATTCTATTCTATCGTTAACAGAATTAACATAGTCGATGTACAATACAAAGATTTTCAAAATTTCGTTTCGTTTTCTTAGCCCTATGTTCAGAAGTTCTGGTCGAAGCAGATACTCGATGGACAGCCTTTGCCAGCCGCCGAGTATCGTCGTAGTCCTCTGCTGTATGGAAGCCCATGCGTGCGCCACGCGGGGGCAGGCGCTGAACTTGTGCTGCAATGTTTCAACCGTAGCGTTGCAGTGCAAGCAGCTCTCGCCGGCTGCCCGTTGGATGATCTTCATCAGCCTTCTATGCTCCGTCTTCTCGTTGATCAGCATATACAAGCTGCTCCGATGACTTGACGACAGTTGTTTCGACCCGATATTCGTCCAAATACGTCTCCAGTTTGATCCAGGATATTTTCTCTCGACCCGTGGTGTATCTGTCCGCTCCAGAAGAACACGATGAATTTGGTCGCTGGAGGGGTGTTCTCGGATAAGTGGGAGGAGAAGTGGAATTTGTTGGGCTAATAGTTTAAGGCAAGGAAGATCTGCGGGAGGAGGAATTGCTTGGTTCAGAAGGGACTGATAATAGGGAAGGGAGCCACTATCCTGTAAGTGACGGTTCACCAGAAGCGCTTTGCATTTGAGTGCCGGTAGCTGCAACTTTAGTCCGCCAGATGCTTTGTCTCGTGCCAATTGTTCCATAGGAACCCGCGCCGGTTGGCCGCGCCACAATAAGGAACCCATGGTTGCTGTGATTTTCGCTGTGTGGACACAATATGGTGGAAGGATTGATGCCACGTACCAAATCCTTGCCGTGATATAGGTATTTAGCAAAATAACCTTCTGTTGAAGGTTAAGTCCCCTCATCGAGTGCAGCCACAAATGTTGAGCAAATTTGGTAACTTGAGCATCCCAATTAATCTTAGTCATTGCGCGGATTGAGTTAGTGAAATAAATGCCAAGAATCTTCACCGTTTCTACTGTTTGCAACCATGGCACATTCAGTGGATCTCCATCAATGAGCCCGACGTTGATTGCAACAGTTTTCAATCTATTGAGCTTTGTGCCGGAGGCACGTTCAAAACGTCCGAACAGGTTATTGATGCGCTCAATCACGCGTGTATTGGTAGCTATAACAGACACATCATCTGCGTAAGCCACCACGAGATCGGGGCCGACGAGTCGCTCCAGTTGTTGCAGAAACGGATGGAGGTAGATGACGAACAGTATCATAGACAAAGGGTCCCCCTGGCGAACCGAACGTTCGATGGCGAAGCTCTGCGAGAGATGCCCGTTGATCAGCAGGCGAGACGAAGATTGTCCGGCAATACGAGCCAGTAAACCGACGAAGGCTGGGTTTATCCCCTGCCGCATCGTTCCATAGAGAAATGAGTGGGACACTCGATCGAAAGCGTGATCGAGATCGTAGCTTATTAGTTTCCCTCTCCGCTTCCTCACTATCAGCTCTGCAATGCGATCCTTCAGAGAAAGAGTTGCTTGAAAAATTGAGTGCCCTTCGTTAGGGCACTTCTGCGCATCGCTCAAAACCGGGTACGACCTCAACACAAACTCCAAACGAGATTTGAGTATACGGCTGAGGATTTTGTAGTCTGCGTTTAGAAGGCTGATCGGTCGGTATCCTCGTGCCGTGTTTACAGTTCCTCTCTTTCGTACAAGCACGATCACTCTGTTGACGAACTCAGCGGGGAGTTCCGTGGTCATAGCTTCGTTTAAAACGAGATTTAACTCTCGGTGGATGACATCGAACGTACGTTGGTAAAATTCGACGGGAAGCCCGTCGCTGCCAGCAGCCTTCCTTTTAGCCGATGTGCGAATAGATGACATTATTTCTGCTGTTGTTATTTCAGCCATACACGCCTCGTTTCGCTCGTCACTTTCTGGAATCACTCGTTCGCAGTGGAAAGAAGATTGTGCCTCCTCGCTCTCGTCAGACGCTGTGTAAAGCTCCCTGAAGTAGTTTAGCAGGTGGTTTTCAATTGTTTCGGAGCTGTTTAGAGTCTCGCCGTTCTCGATACCCAGCTCTGTTATGACGGTTTTTTTCCTTCGCCTCTCGCCAAGCTGGAACGTGCTGATATTTTCCCCTGCGATGAATGTATCGTTGATACGCATAAAGTGCTGGGAAAACATTCGCTGGTGAGTAAGCATCTGCGCTTTCACACGGTTGGGATTTTGATAGTAGTTGTTATATGCTTGCCGAAGCTGCGAATACAAACGTTGGTGTTCAGCATGAAATTCCCTGTACACCTCGCGAGATTTCCACCGAAAAAAAGAAAGAATTTTCGGTTTAGCGCATGATATCCACCACGTTATCCAGTTTGGAAAGTTCCGTCGCTGTTGGGTTACATACTGCCATCTAATCTCGAACTCTTCGATGTTCTCTGTAGTGAGAATATGGGGACGAAGGGACCAGTAACCGCGGCCAGGTTAGCGTCCGAGGCTAGGGAGGCATATTCTTGCGGTAAGCGCTTTGTGGTTCGTAAAAGAGCATACATGCGTGTCTGCACTCCGGAGATACGTGCATAGACCATTGCTGACGTATATGCGGTCGAGCCTGGAGACCGAGTTGTGCGTTACGTATGTGGAGGAGGGGGTCGTGGGGTACAACTTAACCCAAACATCGTCACACAGTTAAAATATCCGGCAAGTATTAGATGTTCGGTGTTATGCCGAAGATAAAAGGCGACGGTATTATTAAAAAAGCGTTCTCGCTCGGCACGCATTGCTGTGCCCGACGGTGCATATACGTTTGCCAATGTGGTGTTTTCAACCCGCAGAGCAACGAGCCTGCCATCCAAACTCTTTTCTATATGGGAAAACCGAATGTATTATTTTAGCGCTATAGCAGTCCCCCTTCTCGAATGATCGACATTTGCGACAACGTTATAGCCAGGAATCGAGAGCTGCTCGTTCTCCACTTCTTGCAGAAACACGATGTCAAGCTCCATAGTTCTGATAAAAGTTCGGAAGGCGTTGAGTTTTGTTTCGTTGGTGATCGTGTTTATATTGATAGTAGCGATGTTGTAGCTGGCGATTGGATTCACGATTGGTTTTCCAGATCCCGCTCGTCATCGATACCATCTCGTCGCTTTCTGGTTCTAGGGCGTCCTCTAGAGTTTGAGCTGTGCGTTGACATTGCCGAGTCGTCTGTCTCGTTGCCATCGGACTTTCCACCATCAGGGGGCTGTTGACCGGACGTGTTGGACAGCGACCTTTTCTCCGGCGGCGGTTTTGGACCCGATACGGGTATGATGGGGAGAGTGAGTGGAGGAAATTGTGTCTCCGACTGCGTGTTAATTGGTTTTTGTGTAACCGACAACAACTGCTGTTTCGGCTTCTTCGGTGGGGGTTTTGTCTGCAACGTTGGCTTTTGGCTCCGTGGCTTCGCATTTGGTTTGGTTGGTGTTGGTGCAGGCTGCTTTGTCGCATACGACTTCTGCACTAGCAGCTTTTTGTTCTGCACGCAGGTGGCGCCGATGTGGATGAAATCCCGGCAGTGTCGGCAAGTTTGACGTTGACCAAAATAGGATAGCAACGTCGATTCCCCGTCGATAGTAACCCACGACTCGATGTTGTGTTTCACGATCATCTTGGCAATCCGAACACCAGTGGAAATGCCCAGAAAGTACAAATCACCTCCGCACATGTGTTCGCGAACTGAGATGACGTCACCGTACGCGGACAGGAATTTGATGATGGCTTCGTCCGATACGTCCTCAGACAGATCATACAGCTTCACCTCCACTGCCCCGTCTTCCATGGTTATTCGCAGGGGAACCATCTTCTCCTCACTCACTTGCACTTCGTGTTTTCCGTCGTGTTCTTCGCACACTTTTTGTACCAGCTCCAGGTCGACGACCTTCACGAAGGCACACCCGAGACTTCTGCTACACTGTATTCTCAGCACTTCACCGGGCTTTAAACCCAACATGGTTCCAACAAAGTTTTGCACTTTTGCATAGTCCGGTTTTTTCGGCAACATCGCATAATCTATGCGGAATGTGTTCACGCGACGCGCCATCGTGGAGTCGTAGTACGCGGGAACACGCTACGGCTCGGCGATGGAAAAACGCAGCGCGACAAACGATATATGTATAGCTTGAGATCGACTTCCAGAAATAGCGATAGCGTAAGTACGTCTGCTTGGCTCGGAAGTTGAGCGCTCACTTAGCCATTAGCACAACTTCTAAATTTCTACGGCCATCCTGATCTTAAGTCTTAAGAAGTTATTTTAAGTTTAAAGAAGTACCCTGAATCTAAAAGAAGAACTTTTGTGAAGTTTCTTAAATTAAACCAAAGTTCCCATAACCTCAACAAAGTTTCCCAAACTTGTATAAAAGTCCTTGCAATAAAAAAAGAAAACGATGTAGTTAAAGCAAAAACCTCGAATATTCACGAATTAGTGATTTATTTGATGAGTGTATGGTTAATGGAAAGTTCTCACGATTGTATCGATTCCTTGCTGTTCTCGAAACTGCTATTGTCCCGCGACGTTTCCAACAGGTCGTCCTCCTCATCTTGAGCGTCCATTTCATATATGCGGATGGTTCTCTGCGATTCCGATACCACCGATGCGACGTTCCTCGTGCCGGACACGGCAATCTTCCCAGCGTCAATTCCCTCCAGCAGCCTCAGCGAACATTCCTCTATTAATGTGTAGGCATTCACCACCCGACAACAGCTTCCACCGCTACCCTGTTGTTCGACAATGATCTGATTGTTAACGAACGGAACCGATTCCAGCAGTTCCCAGATACGATCCAGTGTCAACTGCAAGAAGTAGCTATTTATGCGACTTTCGCTTGTTCGCGCTCGTAGCAGTACCGATAGCGTTTCGGCGTTGTAGAACTGAACATGTTTAAACGTTAGATCACCGATGGCTGATAGCCGTGTTTCAAAAAAGGGCTTCTCCTGGAAACATAACCGCACCGAACGGATCATCGACAAATGGTTGCATTCCGTTATGATAAGACTGTTGTCGGTTTCGAGAAGTGCGAAAAGCGATACTTGGTTATCTTCCATGTTGAGATAAGTTACGGTCCGTTGGAAGTCGTCCGTAGGATCGGAATTTCTCAGCGAGAGAATACTTTTTTGCTTGAAATCCTGACCGATTACCGAAACTGGTTTCTCAAAAATCCTTTCAATGCTTGCCTTGAGTAGATTATGCTGCTGTACTAGAGAACTGTTTTCGTGATGCGGAAAGATCAGGGGACAAGACTTGAGGCAGTCGTTCTCTTCTAGCAATTTCATCCATTGGTTGGCTATATCCGCCTTCGGTGGGAATAACAGTGACTTGTCCTCCAAATATTGGCCAACGCGTTCCAGGTTAAACTTTCGTTTCTTGTCTTCCGTGCTAGATTCGTCATCTCCGGGCAACTCGTGATAGTTGGCATCGAAGTTGTTGAGGAATTCTGCCAAATAGTTGATCTCTTGCTGTGTCACCGAAGAGTTATCTTCCGGAAGCGTTTCATCCATCAATCGGACGATTACAGTGTACAGCCATCGGAAAAATATCTTGAAATCCCTCGTTGATGTGTCTATCGTTTGCTGTAGTTCATAGGCTTTAATCAAGAATGCACCGCAGTTAATCAGCGCTTCGTTGGTAACATCCCCCAGCAACGGTTTGTAATAGTAAACGTTGCTTATCATACCCTGAAGAGAATTCAGGTGATAAAACACACTGCAGATGGCCGTATGAAGTGGTTTAACCACCAGCTTCTGAATGGTAGAGTAACTCAGCTCAATGCTGTTTCCCAGCTTCTTCAGACCCTTTTCCGTCAAATCCCTCAGCAAAAATTGCTCCAGTGCGGGAGATGTACTTCCAAACATTAGCAATTCCAGAAAGTCTGCCGAAATCGAACCCTGCGGTTGACTGTTGGCGTACTTTGTCAGCTTGTTATCCATCTCCAGCAAAACGGTCTCCCAAGCCTCAATAATACATTCGATAGTATCATTGATGTAAGCCATCGTTCCCAGAATGTGTGCATGTTTGATGGCCAAATTCAAAAGCGATGTAGAGTAGCGCTGTAGGATGTTGTTCTCGAAGATAACCAAATCCAACGAACCACTCCGCTCGATGGCGACGAACAGCTGCTTGAAGTTGGAGCTCATTTTGACTTCCCGGATAACGGCCTCATCGGGGCGAATGTTCATCGATTGGAATAGATCCAGTTCACAACAGGACAGCATGCCGAACACGGAAAGATGCACGTGTCCACTGGATGATCCGATAATCAGAAGATTCAAAATCTGCTTCGAGTAAAACTTAAGCGAGTTGTAATCACAGGACTTGGCGGTTGAAGAAAGCGAGTTTAAACTTGGCAGTGGCGGAAGAAAGGTGGTATGGTTGTTCTGCAAAAGAAGCCTAGTAATAATCGAATTCAAACTGATAGGCGACAAACTTCTACTTACAATCGCATCTCCACTTGTATCATTCGCTGAAATTTCCTTGACGTTTTCTGTCCAATTCATGCAGCTGATGTCCGACTTGATATTGAAACTGTAGATCTCTTCCTTGTTCTCAATGTTGATCAGCAGAACAGTTCCGTTGCTGTAAGCTTGAATAAATCATTTTAAATCTTCAATCTGTCCATGTAAAGGCTTCCATGGTATAAAGGTACTTACCGATTGCCATCACCTTCTCCAGTGGTCTCCAAGCTATCCCGCGTACACGCAATCCTTCTTCAGGAGCCGGCAATTGCCAAACCTTCTGCCACTTTAACCGGTGTAGTATTACTTCGCCTAAATGAAGAATAATTCATATGAAATGTGTTGACCTATCCGAAGAAACACTGTTCCACAACATACCCTTATCGTTCCCGATGGCCAGCAGATCCATCTTGTCGCTCCATTTGAGGATGTCCACACGGTAGCCAACGTTCTTGTTGCCGGTTTGCTTCATCGGATTTCTACTGCTGTTGGAGTACTTTAGCGAGTTCATTTTGCGATATGGTTAATGAAAAATTGAAAATATTCCACAAAACTCACAAAAAGGCCGGTGGAATGTTTTTTTTTTTCTTTGTGTTGTCCTTATTTAGGACGGCTAAGACCGCTCACGGTCCATCTCGCCACTGTGGTTGTCGTGTTTCGTGTTTGGTGGTTTCTTCGATGTTGTATCGTCGGTTTCAGTTTATGTTTGGATTTTTGTTCGTTTAATGAAAGCTACAATTTCTTTCAGGTCCGTCTCGTTGTTCTCTTTTAGGATGGTGGTCAGCGGTTTGCAGTATTCTAGCACGATATGCTCTGATCTTTCGATGTTGAACTTGGGGCAGTAGTATAGTAGGTGCTGTAGGTCTTCCGTTTCGTCGCACAATTCGCAACTATCGTTTATTTCCCACCCCCACTTGTATCTGCGCTCCTTTGTGTTTGTGTGTCCTGTGCGTATCCGCCCGATGATAGTTTTCTCTTCTGTGTTCAGGTTTAATCCATGGAACCAGATTTTTTCCCCCGGCGTTTCCATTATTTCCAGGTGCCATATTCCTTTCTCCTCGGAAATTTTTCTGTACGATGTTATCCAGTCGTCCCAGATGTCAGCTTTCGCCAGCAGGATGGCATCGGGTAGTGTCAGGGAGTTGTAATTTGTTTGTGGTCCTTGAGTGGCTCGAACCGCTTCTTCATCAGCCTTTTCGTTACCCGGAATCCCTTGGTGGCTGGGAATCCATTGCAGCTTGATCTTGTAGTTCCTGTCTTGTTTCAGCAGTTTGACAATTTCCCACGCCAGGAAGTTTTCATTCTGCTTGCTTCTGTTTCGGATGGTTTGACAGGCTCCCTTGGAGTCGGTGAAAATCACTGCTTTGTGATATTTTTTCTCCTTTGCGAGTTCAATGGCCGAGCGAATAGCCAGTAGTTCGGCGTTGGTGATGGTGTAATTAGGGTTGATTTTCTGCGTCAAAACTTGCTGGTCTGTGTGGTCGTACACCGCCAGTGCCGTTCCCGTCGTCGTTTTGGATGCATCCGTATAGAGGTGGTGAAAGTCTTCATAGTAGAGATTCTTTATTTCCAGGAATTTTAGGTTCCAGAACTGCTGGCTGTAGTTTTCCTTTTTGTTTTGGTGCTCAAACATGTCCTCTTTGATGTTCCTCTCCAGTGTGTAGTCCGAGTACTGCCGTCTATTCAAGAAGGCTATTTCGCTGTCTTTCGGGTTCATTTGGCATATGATGTAGTTGAATTTGACGGCCGTTTCCGTCCAGTAGGATCCGTTTCCCAAGTTGTTCCTGATTGAACGATCGGAGAAAGGCTGTAGCTGATTGGTGTGGTAGGTGCTTTTCAGGAGCTCCTTCAGAGTGAGCAGCTCCCTTCTGATGTCCAGCGGCGTCTGTCCGGTTTCGGCGTGGATCACATGGATTGGTGTGGTTTTTAGGTAACGCATAGCGCTGCGAAGGTACGAGTTGTGTACAGTTTGTAGCTTCTGAAGGTTTGTTTTGGCCGCATTTCCGTATATTTGAGCTCCATACTCTAGTCGGCTGCGGATGATGGCGTTCCCAATCTTGACTAGTGTGTTCGGGTTGGCACTGCTGCTGCGCTTCCCGAGCATCTTTATTATTTTTACTTTTGCGGCTGCTTTGTCTCGGATGTCCTCGATGTGTTTTCTGTGTGTGAGAGTCCTGTCGACTGTATATCCCAAGTATCGATGAGTGTTGTTCAGGTCCACGTTCTCTCGTCCTATCCTGATCCTTACTACGCTGGTGTCTTTTCTCGTGAAAGCGACTGCAGCGCTTTTGGAAACGTTGATTTTGAGTTCCAGTCTGGTGAGCTCAGTTTGGAGTTGGGATAGATAGTTGTTGGCTTTTGTTGCTGCATCTTCTGGACTGCTGCCGGTTGCCACCACCGCAAAGTCATCCGCGAACTGGACGAGTTCACATCCTTCGTGTTCTATCCGGTGCAGACCACTGGTGTAGAGGTTGAAGAGGATGGGTGACAGTGGGCATCCTTGGGGGAGGCCTTCGCTAACCTCTCTGTGAGCGTCTCCTTCGTTTGTTTTGAGGACAAGATGTCGGTCGCTGAGGTAAGTGTGAAGCCAGGAGATGATCTTGTTTGGGATGCTTAAGGTTTTTAGGGTGTTGAGCAGTGTTTGCAGGTTCACGCAGTCGAAAGCCTGTGATAGATCGAGGAATACGACGACGGTGTCCTTCTTTGCCAGCTGGGCGTCCTTCACCTTGTTGACGACGTAGTTGACGCAGCTCTGTGCCGAACGGTGTTTCCGAAAGCCAAACGATCGAGGAGGGTGTAAATTCTCTATTTCTGCTATATCAGCCAGTCTGCTGTTGATCACCGAGTTGATCAGCTTGAGATTGATGTTCATGAGAGCGATGGGTCGGTTCGATCCTGGGTTGAGCGGGTCACCTTTGTTTTTTGGAATTGGCTTTATTTGGGTGGTCCTCCACCTTTCCGGAATTACTTCCGAAACGAAGACTTCGTTGAGCATCTCACATACCTTAACTTGCATGTCTAGCCTGAGGTTCTTCAGGATGCCGTAAGACATGCCGTCTTCTCCTGGGGCCGAGTGGGACTTTTTCTTTTTTAGGGCTTCCAAGATTTCCTCGACCTGGAGCGCCATTTCGTAGCCCTTTAAGTGGGAGGGGGTTACGGATGTGGGTTTCCCAACCGGTTTTAACTTCCCATCGTAGTAGTATGCGAGGAACTGTACTGCGTCATCCAGCGTGGTTTCCGGTTTTCTGCTTACCGGCTGGGTTAGCGCGGTATCCAAACCCTTGATGATGTTCCACAGCTGTCTGGGGGGAGTGTCCTCGTCAACTGTTTCAGCGAGTTCCTGGCAATAAGCCCGTTTTGCCTTCCGAATGAGCCTCTTGAGGATAGCCCGTGCTTTTTGGAGTTCTAGGTGGTTGGTTATGCTCTTGTTTCGGTTGTAGATTCGGAGCTTCTCTCGTTTGGTCTTATAGCATTCGTTGATGTCCTCGGACCACCAGCGCTTCAGGTAATTTCCTTTTTTATCTTTGATTATGAAGCTGGCTTGTTCTATGCTATCCTCGAATATTGTCTGCATTTCGTCGGGGTTATAGATGTATTGAGGCTTCAACTGGTTGATCAATTCCGCTGCTTTGTCCTTGTTGACCCGTTTCATTTTTCCTAGTGCCACCGGAATCTCACTTGCGATTTCGATGACTATCGATAGATGGTTGCTTCCGAATTCTTGTGGGACCACTTCCCAAGAAGCCTTGGTTGCTAGACCGGCGGTTGCCAGAGAGAGGTCGATCGCTGTGCTGCTTCTGTTGACCGTGGACATACATGTTGTCGTACCGTCGTTCAAGAGGATAAACTTGGAGGGTTCCAAGATGCTGTTGAGCAGGTTTCCTTTGTAGCAGTTGGTCGCACCGGGGTCCCAGCTTCGATGGTGACTGTTGAAGTCGCCTCCGATAAGAATTTCACCATCCATGTTGTCCAGCTTCTCGAAGAGTTCCAGTATCTTGCTTCTGATTTCACTGAGAGGACTATATCCAGAGGGAACGTATACGGAAACCAGTGTGAGCGGAAAAAACCCCTTGGTTATTTTGACCCCTACAACTTCGACCGGTAGAAGGTCCTCGAACTGTACCGTTTCGTAGTCCAGGGTCTCGTGTACTAGAATTCCGACTCCCCCGTATCCTTGATTTCGCCTGGCAGATTCCAGTCTAAAGTGAGCCAATCTAAAATTTTCTTCCTTCCTGAGCCAAATTTCCTGCAACAGTGCCACGCCCACCGAGTTTTCCGAAAGGAACTGGCTGAGCTCTTCGCGGGTATCGACAGGGCGAAGGCTTTGGACGTTGTGCTGCAAGATTATCAGCTTTTTACACTCCACTGTGAAAGCTTGTGTTGGTTCTCGTGGTTTCTCCTTGGAGCGGTTGCCCCTCGATGATTGATTGGATGTCTTGTCCGATGTCGACGAGTAGTTGGTCCCTGTCCAACTCTGACTCCGCGTGTTGTACCCTTAAGCCGATCTTTTGTTGCAGGTCTCTCAGTGCTCCTACCCAGCGTTTGTGTCGCACCTCTGCGAAGAATTGTTGCCGCAGCCACGTGATGAAGCGTTCAAAGTCCGTTGCCTTGAAAGGGTTCTCCTGGCATATGGGACAGGTCGAAGCGAGTTTCCTTAGCCCCCCACGCTCACCTTCCTCGTTGGGTGTGGTGGGTTCCTGCCTTTCCCGACTCATGTCTCGGGAGCGAGAAGACTGTCTTCTCTGGGGCCTAGGTCCTGCGAACGGCCAGTTGGGTTGATCACTTCCTCCGAGCCTTGGGAAATCACCTTCATTTCCCTCGTCTCCCAGCTGGTCCAGGAGATTGAATCGATTTTGTAGCTTCGGGAAGTGGGTTTCTGCCTGGGTGAAAGTGATCTGCCTCTCCCTCATAGTTTCTCGAATCTTCACGTGTCTTTTCCTTTCTAGGCACTCGATATCGCTTGCTCCATGTCTGAGTTTGCAGTTTGGGCATTTAACGTCCATGTTGCAGTCTGCCGTTGAGTGCGTGCCTCCACAGTTGGCGCATCTTGCACGAGAGGTGCAGAACTTGGCTCCATGTCCGAATCTCCAGCAGTTCCTGCACTGGCGGATGGGAAAAATGTACAATTCGGGCCTGAAGTTACAACCGAAGATCTTTACCCATTTTGGCACTTGCGCACCCTCAACTGTTACCTTGATGTTCGTTGTGTCCAGAAGCTCTCCATTCCTGCTCCGTCGCTTGATGCGTTGAACTTTGGTCGCTCGGTGTTCTGCTTCTATGTTCTCCAACATCTCTTCCTCATTGAAGCTGGTGGGGACTCCCCTGATGAAGGTGATGGTATGATCCCTGCTCTTGGGTTCGTACAGTCTCAAGTTGGCATCTGCCAGCTTTAACTGTCTCAGCTGGGTTTCGAACTCGGTGTCAACCTTGAACCTGAATTTCCCTAGCTTGGAGATTTCAGAGAAATCGTGGAACCCTTTGTCCCTTAGGTATTTTCCAAGGAGGGTAGGATGACTTGGGAAGTCTTTTCCAATGTCGATCATCTCGAGGACTACGGTT